GCCCATAATGGCATTTTAGACATTTTGGTTCCAAAAGAATTCTTAGTAAATTAACCCAATAAGGATAAAACGATAATTTGTAGTATTCTGGATTTAAATCAAGAATGACTAACATGCTTGGTTCATGCTACATAATATTTAGAAGTGGCACAACATTTAGGTTTATAATTGTTTCTAAAATTTATCTAACGATATTCACTTATTTATAGGTCATACAGATATTTAATACTCGAGGTTATTTTAGTTATTTTAGAGCATTAAGCTTAATTCAATCAATTCATGTATATATAGTTCTTTCGACAATTTGGTCTTCATATATCTATTAAGAAATCATAATATTAATATATGTTGTGATCTCAAAGGGTTACGTCTATTATTAGGATTTTTTAATCAGGTCAGGAATTTAATCAGTGAATCTATTTTTCTATCAAGTAAATAATTAATTCCTAGGTCATTTCCACTATTAGAGGAGATTCATATCCCTTTTTCATCTCAAGGGTATTTCGATCATTTCATTCAATTCTATCATTTGTATTACTATTGATAAATTAATCTCCGAATGTTTATTAAAGAATCATAATTCTAAGTCTTTTGCCATCTCGGAGGTTAAAATTTGATATCAAAAGTTGTCTATACAAAACAATAATTTAACAAGTGCATAAATAGTTTAATTAGATCAAATATGTCATTTTAGGGTTATTTTTGCTTTCAGGGATAATACTTGTCTTTTTACATCAGAAGGGTATTTTTGTAATTTCTCATCCAAGCATTTTTAGTATTAAAAACTTTAATGAAAATAATCCAAATATAAAGATCCTGGGGTTAATATTTTTACAGTTTAATCGTTGAACTTGGATTTATTTCATATGAGCCTTCTAGTTCTTTGCATGAGTCAATCGAGTATTAATTAATTTACTATCATTTTTACCATATTTCGTACTAGTTTCAAAATAATCATCGATAAGAACATGAACAATAATTTTCATTCATGTATTTACCAATTATCAATGAGTTCCGTAAAGCATACAAAAGGTAGTAGAGTATTAAATCTATTTTCAAGTAGCATCGATCAGTCATTTAAACCCAATTTGATCACTCTCAAACGTGTATTTGACGTCCCATAATATCTCGGATACATAGCAAAACAAATTTTATTAGAAACAGAACTTAAATGCGAAAATCAGATCAAATTGGAAGATAAGTATACTGAAAAACAACTTACCTTGTTTGAATTTGGCAAAACAGACCCCAAAATAGACTCAAGACATCAAAAAATCGAGATAGGGGGTGTCAAAAAAGTCAACATCTTATCAACGTCGGTTAACAACCAATTAATGGTCAACGACTTGGTCAACGCATCTCGACTAGACTCACGGCTCGGTTAAACAACTCAGCTCGGCTCAATGGCTTGGTACAACTCCAGGCAAATCGACTTGACCAATCAAGATCGATCCAAATCGGTTCATATTGGCTTCTAGAAACCCTAGATGAAAAACAACCACCCACGCATATGGAACGACACATAGAGTATATGCGACAGTGGTCCGATTTGCTCCATATTTTCTAGAAACATAATTCACGGGTCGATAAGTTCATTGTCGGTGTCAATGTATGATGAAAAATGATGGAATATGAGTTTTTTAAAATGGTTAAAGCTCCTTGTTACTCACCCTCTCGACGACGACATCAATGCAAGCACAAAGACCATTGGTCGACCTGAGATGCCAAGCTAGACCCAAAGGCGTCGATTGTGCCATAAACGGACATCGAGATCGGTTGAAAATAGGGAAAAACAATAGTGATGGTATAAGTTTCCAACGAAACTTTCTAGAGCTTTTCTATGACCAACAACGAAGAAACTCGATGAGGAATGACTAGGTTTTAATCGCAAGGTGAAGGCAAACCCTCTAATAATGGCAGTGTAGTTTACGACAGTCATGAGAGGGCTGGTCGGAGTTGCAACGGTGAGAGGACGACGAAAGTTTTCCTGGGTTTTGGTTCGTACCATGGGGAAAGCTGGTCTCTGGGATTTAAAACAAACCAATGAGTTTTAAAATATTTTATTATTATTATAAACTCAAATAGAATCATAGCTTAGTTGGTAGATGCATGTTCGCATTTTGTGTGTGATATAAATTACGCGAAAACCCTGTGCATGTATACAAAATCAAACAAGTAATACAATGATGAGTAAGTATCGTCTCCACAGGGATTAGATGAAATTACAAGTTAAGTCAAGGCAACAAACTAATTTATCTAAGTATAGCTAATGGTATGTACAAATGGTTATGCCGGAGCAAAATGAAATATCTATAGGTGGAGTTGAAATGATAGTGTGAGTAGGTGACAAATGAGAATGTCATGGCAAAAGTAGTTGTTTAAAGTGTAATCGAATGAAAATGTTAAGGCAAAACAGATTGATAACTTGGGAATGAATTAAGTAAGATGACTTGATATTTCTCACACAACAAGCTATTATGTGAATGAATGATGGGGTCACTTAGGAATCTTAAGTCATCTCTTTTAAGATGGTATAACTTCTATGTCTTACTTGCTCGACAGAGTTTACTATGAGTGTCCCTACGCTATCTCTAGTCATGGGATCTTATAAATGAGAATGCTATGGCAAATCCTCTTGGCCTAAGCAGCAACATCTAACCTATCGATTCAGCACTACTCCTTTTAGTCGTTGAAATCCTAACCTTATCTCTGACGGTGGATTAGGCTCTAGTTATCAGCTGAAACCCATTGCTTACATTGATATTCCTTTAATTTCTCTCAAACACTAAAGATCAATAACTTAGTTTCTCTCGAACACTAAGTAGTATACTTAAGAAAATGCTACTCTCATAGCTCCTATCATTCGATCAACGTGGAATTAAGATATTTAATTCTTTCTTGTTTCTTATCTTCCCACCGTTGAGGTTTGTAAGCAAATGATTCATCATCATAAAATCAAAGAAAAATTAAAACTACTTTTTTTCATTAAAAAATAGCCATTTCATAATTTTTAAACTATAGAGTATTCAATAATAGAGTAATCAAAATAAAAACAAATATTTTTTAAAATTTTAGTAAACAAAATATTAATGAGAAAAAAAAATTGAATGATGAAATTTGTTATTTAATAAATTCAAATATATAATCTACAAAATAGTTCGATTATCATTTCCAAAGCAGAACACTGCTACTTCACTCCATTACCATGCTCAATGTTGGGCCCCTGACTTTTTCATTATCTTTATTATTTCAATATTCGAAGCTCCAACCACTCTGCTTTCACATAGGCGTCGTTGATTACGTAAAGGCTGACGAACCATCACTAATTTACTGAATAAATTAACCCAGTGCAGCAGCCAAAGTCTTGAGAAACATGCAAATCTTCCCTCTATAAATAGCATGAAACCAAGGTGAGCCTTACGGTGCAAAATGGGTGATGAAGTGAAAGTATTTGGATTCTGGGGTGGCCCTTTTAGCCGTAAGGTTGAGCTGGCTTTGAGGTTCAAAGGTATACCCTATGAATACATAGAGGATGTTTTAGGGAACAAGGGCCCTTTGCTTTTGCAGTACAATCCTGTTCATAAGAAAGTTCCAATTCTCCTTCACAACGAGCAAACCAATTGTAGAGTCGCTTGTGATACTTGAATACATCGACGAAACTTGGAAATCCAGTCCTCTTTTGCCAGAGGATCCTTATGACAAAGACAAAGCTCGATTCTGGGCCAAGTAAGGTATGATTTCACGTTAATGATATTATGTAGGTCAAAAACAACCTCAAAACATTTTCAAATGATCTCAATCCAATATCAACCACATGCGAGCAATTTGAAAAATTATTTCCACTCCAATAAAAATCGCAAGTTATCATTTTCTATGTCTACATTGTTTTCTACTTATATTTCACCATCAATGGCATCTCTCTCATCTCACTTTCCTTCCACGTACTCCTGGAATTAATGGATTCTCCACATCGACACAGATATATTATGGAAATCTGTCTCACTTCTTTCTCATGTTTCATCTTATTCGTCTTTTGTCTTCTTCATATTTGTCTATCTTCTGAATCACTGTCTTGCCAGCAATTCGTCATTGTCATCAACAAAATTAACCTCACTTCACCCCATCTTACGAAGCATGATAAGATTAAGCTTTACCCTTTCTCAATTCAAATTTCAAAATGTCACATTCTTTCCTTATAACAATAAATTTTGTTGTGTATAAATATGAGAAAATTTTGTTTGCACCAAACTATTAAAGAAAATTTTAAAGTTGGTTAGTAAAGGGATAGATTTTATATCATTTTTAAATAATAATTCATACAGAATAAAAAGAAAAAATTGAATTTAAGATTATATTTTTTTATATTTTATTTTTAATTAAAATAATTATTTATTGAAGTTGTTTTGACGATTATTTTTTATATTGAGGAGAAAAATCAATAGGAGTAATTGATCGATTTTGACTGTTGGGCTCTTGACTTTTCCATTATCTTCATTATTTTGATATTCCAACAACTTTGTTTTCACGTAGCCGTCGTTGATTACGTAAAGGCTGACGAACCGTCCCTATTTTATTGAAAAAATTAAAGGTTAAACTCACTTTTAATATTCCAACTATCACTTTTATTTCGTTTTCGTCACTTAATTATCTTTTGTTTCAAAATCATACCTAACGATACATTTTAGTTTCAGTTGGTCATTCATTCTTAAAAAATTAATAATGATGCTGACGTGTCGCTATAAAATAATTCTACGTCAACATTAAAAAAATTAATTAAAAAATATATCACATCAACAGTTCTATTAATTTTTTAATTGTGGGTAATCAAACAAAACCAAAACTTATGGTTTTAAAATAAGAAATAGTTAGGTGACCAAAACGGGACAAAAGTTATAGTTAGGGTACTAAAGTTGTAGTTTACACTAGAATAAACGACTGCAGCAGCCGATGTCTTGGGAAACAAGCAAATCTTCTCTATAAGTAGCATGAAACCAAGGGAACCCTTAAGGTGCAAAATGGGTGATGAAGTGAAAGTTTTTGGATTCTGGGGTAGCCCTTTTAGCCGCAGGGTAGAGCTCGCTTTGCTGTTCAAAGGTATACCCTATGAATACATAGAAGAGGATGTTTTAGGGAGCAAGGGCCCTTTGCTTTTGCAGTACAATCCTGTTCATAAGAAAGTTCCAGTTCTCCTTCACAACGGCAAACCAATTGCAGAGTCGCTTGTGATACTTGAATACATCAACGAAACTTGGAAATCTAATCCTCTTTTGCCAGAGGATCCTTATGATAAAGCCAAAGCTCGATTCTGGGCCAAGTTCATGGATGACAAGGTATGATTTCACATTAATGATAGTATCCTATAGTATAGTACCAAGACGTTCGTCTCGTTGAAATTTTATAACTTTGTTCCTTTAGCATAAAATTTTGTATTCGTCCCTACATGTAGTGCATGCCCGTGATTCAGAAAGCTATATTGGCGCCGGAGAAGGAGCGAGAACAGGCGGCCGAAGAAGCTTGTGAGTGTCTGAAAGCGCTTGAAAGTGCACTGAATGGGAAGAGATTCTTTGGGGGAGATGCGATTGGAATGGTAGACATTGCTGCCAATTTTGTAGGATTTTGGCTTAGGATCATTCAAGAAGTTGCCGGAGTGGAGTTGTTGTCGGCTGAGAAATTCCCTGACTTGTTCAAATGGACCGACGAGTTTGTAAGTTGCAGCATTGTCAGGGAAAATTTTCCTCACAAAGACAAAGTATCGGTCGCTTTTAAAGCTCGTATTGATCGAATGAGAGAAGCTCAAAACTAATGACCCTAATTGAACTTTTTTCCAATGATGGTCTCTTTTATATTAGTTGGTTCCGTTTGTAATCTCAATATATTCTTAAATGTGACATTTGCTCTTGCTTTCGAGCAAAAAAAACAATCACTTGCTCTTAAATAAAAATGTCAAATTACTGCTGTTGGTGTATCCTCGTTCTTGCTGATGGTTCCCCCCCCCCCCCCTCATTTCGACAGAAATGGTAGAATATGTTTTTTGACTTAGAACATAATGGATTTGTTGTATCACTGTCCAATATAGGTAAGCACCCAAAGCACTATACAAACTTTTGGGGGAAAATAGACCCAAATAATGTATTGTATTTTATCCTTATCCAAGACGCCAACCATTCTATAAATACTAAAGAACGAGTGAAATTTTGTACATTGAAAGAAATTTTATTGTACGTACGACTAACACGGATCTAAAAATACTTTTAAGATAAATGCCTCTATATTAATAATATAAAGCTTTTATATATAAATAATCGCAAATAAAATTTTATGATGATATAGTTAATAAAATAAATAATTAATATATAAACATTAAATTCCAAAATAAACATTTACCTTTTTATGATGACCACTTCTTACACATTCAAAAAAATTCTTATATTTTTTACTTTATATGTTTTTATATTTTCATTTTAGTCATATATTTTTAGATATTTTATTAGTTAGTCAAGTTGTTCATTTTTATTTTTATATTCTCTTAGGTTATATATTCTAGCCTCACTAGGAGCACTCCCTTTCCTTCTTTTAGAGTCCCTCCTCCTTCCTTAAGATAAGATTAAATTTAGAATTTGTCAAAAAATATTAATCATTATTGCTACTTTACAAATCATTTACTATTAAATAAAAGTCACCAGAATCTCTTATACTTTCCAAAAAAACTAATGTGGTTCTAATCCTACTTTTTAAATCAGTGTAGCTCTTTAACTCGAAAAAAAGAATCTAATGTAACCCTTTGACCAACAACATTTCTATCATTAACCATCAGTTATGTTAATTCATGTTGTTATAAATTGGGTAAATTACACCATTCATCACTCAATTATTTTATTCTCTTCTATTTTGGTTACTAAACTCTAAAAGTTTTAATTTTGGAAACTTTAGAGACTTCAGGGACTAGGGCTATAGTTAACCCATTTTATTTTAAGAGTAAACTAAACAAATAGCACTTTTGTTTGGTACTAATCATGGCCTTTTTGTAAACTCAAAATAGTTTAGGAATAAAATAACAATTTATCTCTTTTTCTTTTCATGTATTTTAACCAAAGGGGCAGCAGAGGCTGGAGGTAGTGGTCTCTCTTTTGAGAAGCTTCAGTAATCTGGTGGGTAATTACCCCTCCCCACAATTCAATTTAGTCTTCATATCCTAACTTCACCTGCGAATTGTTGTGAGTGCCACCCTTGCCATTGCATTTTCGCATTATTATGGTAGTTTTATCAATATTTTGGTTTGTTGTGTATGTTTTTAATCTCATTTTTGGCCTTGATAGTAGATGTTTGTAATCCCAATATTTTGGTTTGTTGTCTCGTAACTATTAGATTATGTCATAAATTAAATCCGGGAAAGGACTGTTGTTTCTTGATATAGTTAGTTTCTTCTTCCTTCTTTATGTTTCCTTTATTTTCTTCGCTGATTTCTTAACTGCTGCCTTTTATAAGCTGGTTTTTCTTGATTTAGTTGTTCTATATATTGTGATTCTTGTCGTGTTATATTGAAATTTAAGCAGGCCATGGTAACATTAGATAATTAGAATATATTAAAGAAAGTTAAATGGCCGATAATCTTATGCTTAAACCATAACCTACCTAAGGAAATTGTTTACAGGGGAAGCAGGGAAAGCGGCGCGGCGGAGAAGACAGGTTTCAGGAAGGAAACGTGAAAAAAAGACTAACTACAATCTTAGTCCCTGAAGTCTCTAAAAAAATTTAAATTAAAACTTTTAGAGTTTAGTAACCAAAATAAAAGAGAATAAAATAGTTGAATGATGAATGATGTAATTTATCCAATTTATAAAAGCATGAATGAACAGATCCGTTGGTCAATAAATAAAGACATTGGTCAAATGGTCACATTGATTTTTTTTTTCTTGGAGGACAATATTGATCTAAAAAAATAAGATGAGAGCCACATTAATTTTTTTAAAAGTTCAGGGACTTTGAGTGTTTTTTTTTGTAAAAAAAAAATAAGTTGGTAATTAGAACAAACATGATACGATTAAAAATAGAGCCGAATTAGTACCTTGTTTTCCAGTTTGAACAGTAGATTTGATGAAGTGTCACAGATCTGTGTGCTTTTGTATTGATGGTTTAGTCAAAACTAATAGCTTGTTAATGCCTATCAAAGGAGACAAATGGTCAAAGTTTTGTAGAACTCTCACCATAACAAGATAAAAGGAAAAAAAAAAAGAAGGCAGACGACAAGTTCCAAAGACAAAAACCCGTTTTTTGAGGGCGCTAATCAAGGTGTGTTGTTCCTCGATATTCCCTTTTCTTCCATACCTAGGAAAACCCTCTTGGTTTGCGGAATCCAACTCTCCTTTATGTTTTGCTGTTAAATGTTTTTTAATGATTGATTAGCAGCAATGAGACATGTTTAAGCTTATGGTTTTACAGCTGGTCTCCCACGACGCCCCCACCAGCCCTTTTTTGTTTTGATGGGTGGTGGTGCTTTGTTGCTTAACATTATTCCTCATAATCTGCCAAATCCCAAGTGCCCAACAACATGCATGTTTTACTCTCTAGTCTTAAATTTAGACGATTTAAACTCTAATCTCTTAATTCTTCTCAATTTTAAAACTAAATAATCTATTTTTATAGTTTTTTCTTAATTTTGTACTTAGAGTGTTTCAACTTTTAATTTTTAGATGTTGTATCTCCTTTAAATCTTTTTCGAAAGTTACATGGTGATGTTATTCTTTCATCTATTGAGCAGTTATAGACACTTGACACGACATCTAACAAACTCACATAATCTATAATATGATGTCTAAAAATCATATTTATTTAACATATCAATCTATAAATATTCATCATGACTTTGGACATTACGCAAACATTAAGGGTCCCTATACAAGTAACCATGCATGACAGAAGAAGGACATGAACTCTGTCTCATACACAATCTCTCTTAGGCTCAACCTTACTATTGTTTATTATCTCATTAAATTCATTAAATCATTGACTACAATCAGGCTCGTCCATCGGTAAGTGTGGCATGTGATACGTCACATGCCCCCAAAATCTAAGGGTCTACACTGCAAAAAATCACGATTTTACTTCTAAGAACATTTGAATGGTGATATTTTTAAATAAAATATCATAATTATATAGAGTTGTTTTGTAATATTGTTTTGATATTATATGTTTGAATTTTTTTTCATTTTATAAAACACAATCATGATACGGTAAATTTTAATATTTCTACATTCTTATCTTATTATAAAATATTTTAAAATTTTTATTTTAAAAAATAACACAAAACCTCTAATGTTTTAGACATGACTATAATTCTACAACCAAATTAAAAAAACAAACCATCGAAAACGTCTCAATCTCATTATTTTCGCTCAACAAATACTACCACGACGATTTATATTTGTATTTTTATTAATACTATTCACCGGCGTTAGGTTTATATTTATTTAAAATCTGAGACACATGATCAACACGAATAGAATATAAAATTTAATAACTAAATTATTAAAATATTAATTATTCAAAATTTTATGAAAATGTATAAAGTCCACTGAGTTCTACATACTTATTAGGTGGCATACATGATAGAAGAGGATATTGATCTTACTAAAAAATTCGAGTTCGAGCAATTGTGTTTGTAAAGTGTATATTATCTTATAATCATCTCAAACTATTAAAAAATAATTATCTCATTTATTATTATTATTTTAAAAAAAGAGTGTAGTTGGTGATTTGGCTTAAAAGGCAACCTTCCTTCTGCAGCCTTGAACGAGAAGCTATCTTTGATGCATAATGAACATATTGTTATTATTGTGCAAGTTTCCAGGGTTTTGTATGATCCAATATGCATTTGTTGAAATTGGTAATACAGTTAAAGGAGCAGCTCATGATTTTACCATTGTAGTCAAAGCTAAAACCCCTGTCCAAGCATATGAGGAATGGGGTCCTACACATACGTATATACACATTTTTGCACCTTATCATTCTGATATAACACAAAGGTGGTGTTTGTTTTCATTGTGCAAGCTCTTCAAACCACTTATGTCTGCGTCACGCAGACCACGCGCAGACATTAGGCTTCGCAGACTGTTTGTTTTTTAGAAGACAGAAGCTCTTCAAACGTCTGCGCAATCTCTTCTTGGTGCAGACTTGGTTTTATATCTTCAAATGTCTTCAAACCTCTTCAAGAACATTTATTAAAATAAAAATATTTAATAAGGTTATTTATTTTAAAATAATTATAAAATAATTATTTTAAAATAAATTATTATAAGGATTGATTTATTTTAAAATAATTTATTAAATAATTTATTATAATTGATTTTTTAAAATATGGATTGATTTATTTAAATAATTTATTAGTATAAATTGATTTATTTTAAAATATGGATTAATTTATTATTTAATATTGATTTATTTTAAATAATTTATTAGTATAGATTGATTTACTTTAAAATATGGATTGATTTATTTTAAATAATTTATTAGTATAGATTGATTTATTTTAAAATATGGATTGATTTATTTTAAATAATTTATTAGTATGAGTTGATTTATTTTAAATAATTTATTTGTATGGATTGATTGATTTATTTTAAAATATGGATTGATTTATTATTGTAGTTGTATGGATTGATTTATTTTAAATAATTTATTAGTATGGATTGATTTATTTTAAATAATTTATTGTATGGATTGATTTATTTTAAAATATGGATTGATTTATTGTAGTTGTATGTGTTGATTTATTTTAAATGACTTATTAGTATGGATTGATTTATTTTAAAATATGGATTGATTTATTTTAAATAATTTATTAGTATGGATTGATTTATTTTTAAAATATGGATTGATTTATTTTAAATAATTTATTAGTATAGATTGATTTATTTTAAATAATTTATTTGTATGGATTGATTTATTTTAAAATATGGATTGATTTAT